TTTTTTTTTTTTTTTAAGGAAGCAAGCATCTGAAAATTCAGGTGATTAAATGATTATCTGTGATTAATCTACTGTCATTTTTTAAAGCAGAATGAAACCGTTAAAATGACGAATGCATTATTAAATGCGTTAAAAATAATGATTTAATGTTACGTTTAATTTATGTTGACAGCTAAAATATCAATTTATTTTTGCTACCAGCAGCAAAAATAGTTTCTAAGTAAGTCATAGCAGAGTTTGTCTTTATTCAAATGGTATACCTTAACATGTGTTGAATTAACCTGAATACAATATAACTGCATTGAAACTGGTTTCTACCTGGTGCTTCTCCATTGACTGAGCTCTTATTTTGGGTAGCACTGCTGTTGGTCCGCTGGGCCTCGTCTGTTACCACAGCACTGCCATCAGGGTTAGAGTAAAACAAGAGCAAGGGCTGAAAGTGACCTTTGATGCATTTAGTGACCACATCCTTCCATCTGGATCCCACCTTTAAAAAAAAAAAAAGTTCTTTAGCATACAGAGAGCAGTTACCTGAAGTGTTAGATTATTATTAGACGTGAAGGCTTGCATGCTTCGGAGGTAAGAGTACGCAGACTGTACTACAAAAGTCTCTCCAGGCAAACAGATGTAACCTTCTTAATTAACAGACGGAAGAGAAAAGCAGTAAAAGTCAGCAAGCAGGATGAGGATGCATTAAAGAAACACAATTATCTGAACAGTCAAAAAAGAGCAGGCAAGACTGTAAAGGAGATGAATTAAGACACGCTTAATCAACAAAACAGCTGTTATGAAGTACGTTCTCTTACACTGCATACTGGATTGGCTCTCTATACTGTTTGTTAGCACACACACATCTACTGTAGTGCACATATTGTGTGTGAGGGTGATTTATCTTGGCGGTGGAGACGGGCAGCACTAGCCCAGTGAGAGCTGAAGTGCACACGCAAGCACAAGCCGCACACTACTGATAGATTGATGAAGAGATGCACCACTACACTGCATCGCCACATATTTCACACTCGCTGGCTGCCCATCAAAATCCTTTGATTGGTGGCATTGTAATTTTAGTACAATTGAGATGCCATTATAGTTTTTTATTAATTAGTTTTATTTTTATATATTTTTAATTTGTTTAAATGTTAGTTTAGTGCAATTTACAAGTGCAAATGTCTAACGATTTGTAAATAAAGATGCATTTAATTGAGAAGTGAAATGGCATAAGTTTTGCTGACCAAAATAAATTGAGTTTATGAATAAAAAGAACAAATATCCACAAGTGGACTTAGGAAAACAACGTATTTCAAAGAGAAATGTTTTCAAACCCTAATCACAGATATTTGTTGTTTTTTTAAACTCACTTAATTTTGTTCAGTTTCTCAGAAAACACGACTTTATATCTTCATTTTGCATCTCAAGTAAATTGATCTCGATTTAAAGATGTTTAGATATTTGTATTGGAAAACAAGACAAAAATACTGAGGAAGGTATTAATTTTTAGCAATGCATGTAAGACTTGAAAACACAATATCATGTTTTTTTTTTTACAATCTATTTTTGCTAAAAATGAAACTATATTTGGTTTAACTTTGTCAAAAAAAAAAATTAGTCTTTCAAAATCAAGAGAAAAATAAAGATTTGATGAAGAAATGTACTAGAAACACTTTGTGTGAGTGCGAGAATGGAGGAAGCAGTTAAGCTAAGTTAAGTTCAATTAAGTTACAGGAAATAAAAACGTGATCAGTTAAAATGGTAAAAATGTTTTGTTATGTAAATGTGCAGATGGAGGGAATGTTTGTTTAATAAGGCACATGACCAGGACTGCTGGGTAGTTGTTAGCATTATGAATAGTAATTGTGTAAATATATAGACAGAAGGACTTAAAGGCACAATATGTAAGATTTTTTTATTAAAATATCCAAAAACCACTAGAACAGTGTTATATATTTTGCTGACTTGTGTACTCACATTATCCCAAATGTTTTGAAGAATGTTTAAATCCAGAGAAATAAGCAATTTTTAACTAGTGACACGGACCGTGTCCATAGTGTCGCCTGCTAATGACGTCATAACCCCTCGATTTCGAAACACCAAAGACGCTTTAATATGTTGTAAGTTTTAATAGACCGGTGACGACCGCACAGAGTAGCATTATAACAGAACTTTCAAATGTATCTAGTATGATAAAACAGCGCTACGGTGTCATCAAACTACGCCTTTGTCTCTGTTTATTTTGAATACGAGCCCTCTAGCGGCGAAAATTACATATTGTGCCTTTAAGCCCTAACAGACAAGTGTAGTCTCACCTCTTTGACATTGGCGTCATCAAAGAAAACCCATTTAGATGATTTGGTGTGGTAGGCGAAGGCACAGTAATGTCTGCTGGAGTAACAGATCATTCCCACCAATAGCAGCTCGCTCTTCTTTGCACGCTCGTCTGTGACGCGATAAAAGAGCTGCAAACACACACCCATTCACATTGCATTCATTTAGACAATTATAACAAAAATCATACAGCACAATGTTCTTCTAATATCGAAGGTTCAAGGTAGTGATGCACCAAAATGTTGGTAACCAAAAATATTTGGCCGAAACAGCAAAAAAATAAAAAATAAAAAATAAATAAAATAAAATAATAATATCCATTGCATTCCAAATGTTCTTTAAATTTGAAAAAAGTTCTATATATTAAAATGTTCTTCGCACTTACAAAAAAAAAATAGTTCTTTAAAGAACTGTTCGTTGAAAGGTTCATTTGGGAAGCCAAAATGGTTCTTCTATGGCACCACTGAGAAAACCTCCTTCTGAATATTTATTTTTAAGAGTGTATAGACGCATTTTAGCCATCTGAAATGCATGCAGCTGCACAAACAGAAGGCCTGTCTGGTGGTAAACAAGTCTCAAGCATGAGGCTTGTAATGAACGCCATCTACACACTCGGAAGTCAGATGACCTTCCACTGCAGTGGCTTTCTGGTCATCAGGCGTGGGCTATTCAGGCACTGATGCAGTTACACAACCTCAGTCTTATGAAGAGGATAAACGTCTGCTTTATTTCATACTTATGCTCCATGGCACCACCATAAACTGGCCTCAATGACACCAGCACCAGATGTGCTACAAAAATCAATAAATAACAGTAAAAGAGCGACCGTGGTGACGTCAGAAGCTTTTTATAACCTTTTAATCTAGATGGAGGCTTTCTATGAATTCTATATTTTATGTAATAGCCAGAAATAAGATGGTCTTTATTGGAATTTCCCACAAAGACTCAATCATCACAGACATATAAACATCTGAGTAACATGCATGTTGATTAGCAGATTCTTGTAAATTCAGGCCATCTAATTTCAAAGCCTGAAATATGGACCGTAATCTTCTTACCAACTATCCTATTGTTCTGTAATAAGAAAAATGTACCATGGTAATGCAATGTTTTAGACATGCACCACGGTAATTCCATGGGATTTGATTGGATTCTTCAAAGCACACAAAGGGATAGTCCACCCAAAAATTTAAATTGTCATTATTTTCTCACTCTCATGTCGCTCCAAACCTGCGTGACATAAACAGTGGTTTGGTTACCATTGACTTCCATTGTATTTTTATTTTCCATTGTATTTTTTATCTTATAAAATATCTTCTTCAGTGTTACACAGAAGAAACGATGAGCAAATGTTAAAAATTTTATTTCTGGTTGAAGTAAAATTAAGTACCATTTAAATACACTTGAAGGTCCCCTGAAATGCTTAGAAACACGCAGCGTTACTCTATGTGTTGACGTCATTTTAACTGAAACAGGAAGACAGGGCGGGATATATCAAGCAGCCCCGCCCCTTTTTAAAATAGCCAATAGCGTTTGTTTATATCATAGCTTGGGCTAGAGCCGTTGAGCTCCGTAAAGCCGCATTTGACAGGGTATGCCAGCCACAATCTCATCCATATTGCTATAAAATATAGCATTCTGTGTAGAATTCAAATAGCTCCGATACATTTTGTGGTCTGCGCCGACTCGCGCATGTGATCTGCTCCTTTTTTTCAGTATACAATGTTTTTCGAATATGGTTCTATTTAGTATTACAGTATGGTTTGCCAACCACAATATATTTAGAAAGGAAAATTCAAGACTATTTAGTCCTTAACACATTCACATTTATATCAAACAGACCTTTGAAAGTAAGTATAATCACATCATGTGACCAATCTGGAAGCACATTCAACCTTTGTGTTTTGTTCACATCTTTTTTCCTGTTTCATGATCCCTTGGTGTATGTAGTACTTTTGTACTTTGGCTGGACGCAGCCAGGTGCCCTGCTGAAATTAAGCAGGTGGAGCGGAGTGTATTTACGAGACTCACCCCTGAGAGGTTGAGGTGTGGTCCGAGAGATCGGATGACGTCTTCGGTGAGGTCTGACTGATCTGAGTCCCACACAAATCCGATGGTCACGATTTCTGGAGAGTTCATCAGCACGCGCCGCATCTTGATTCTCTGCCCACAGTTACTCTATTGAGGCGATGGAGATAAAACATAACTGTTTGCTATTTTGTTTTTTAACACCATGCAAGCTTTTTTTTCTATTTTAATGTTGAAAACCATACCCGAGTTATTACATTTTGAAATAGAAACTAATAAGATATTTAAGACCAATTCTTTCAGAAAGAGAGAGAGAGAAAATTAAAATTAAAATAACAGATTTTAGAAGAATTTTCCTTCTAAAAATACTTGAAATCAGCAGTTGAAATCGTTTTGGATAATTCTGATATTAGAATAGAACTACATGTTGTTTAAGGAGCAATAGTGTTTTGAAACAACACCAAGGTCTATGGTAACATCCTAAACTGTAAAATCACCATAAAAACTATGATCTAAACAACCTTGCCATTCAATTAATACAAGCTTTATAAAACAATAAATACAATATTTCAGCCTAATAAATGATTATGCATGCTATGTATAATACAACTTTTTAAAAATCTGAACAAAAAAGGCAGATGAGCTGAATGAAAATGCATCCCACCCCTAATAAATCAGTAAAACTTCAATGTCAGTACAGTAAATTTTCAGGTATACTATTTTTGTGGAAAACAACAGTGTTATTTTAGTATCATTGAGATACTACTATTAATTAATATTTTGAATTAGTCTATATATTTGTATATTTTCCACTTTCATTTCAAATGTAGTTAAAGTTTTAGAAATGTTATTGTGAGTTTTAGTCATTTTTATTACTTGGGTCAAACACTAAAAGGGGTTTTAAAGTCAAAACAATATGAAAACAATAATACAGCTAAATACGGCTTTAATTTTTTTTTAATGCGTTAGAATGATTCCTGTTTAATTTTTTTAATTGAGCAAAAAATAAAAGCTATCATACATTTTAAACATGATTTACAGAAGACACCCACTAAAATGTCAATGCAACAATAATTCATACAACAAAAAAATCTGTCAGGCACATATAGAACTAGAATCATTAGATGACATTAAAAGACATTAAAATAAGGGTCACAGTGCAGCCCCTAAAATACTAATTAATTATCATTTTAAAGTTTTTACCAATTCACTAGGTTTTACCCATTTGTCAACAATAAAGTTATTAATCATTTAAAATATAATAAAATTAATTATTTAAAATTCACTTTTTCTTTTATATATTTTAATAAGTACAGGTCAGAATATGTATGTTGTTTATATACTCTATATCTGTTCCACTGAATGATGATGGCACATGAATTCACCCATATTTTGACTTTTTTTTTGCAAAAATAATTTGAAACATTAAAGGTAGGCACTTCACTAGCATATAATTTACTTTTTATGCATATACAATCTTTTTTTTTATTTTTTATTTTTATTGAATTTGATGCAGACACCAAAATGGAATGTATCATCTTTGACCCACTTATAGTTTTATTGTGTGTCTAAGTAGTTACTATTTTAGCTTCAGTTATCTTAGCATATCAAGTTAAACTACATAAAAATGACAAATGTTGCCTTGGCAACTAGCTTAAAATAAGTTATTTGTGTGTTTTACTTCAAGCAACAGTAACATGTTTTTACGGTTTTAGACTAGTTTTAGGTAACATTACTAACCCTGTTGTGACCAAACATTTTATTACTTCAGTGAGACACATGAATGTTGTGCTGCTTCTGGCAGTGACTGTAGTAGGATGTAACTTCCTATTTGCCCGTTTAAAAATGCAGAATGTGTTGACATGTGAGAGGAACGTTCCGGTCTCAGGTTTCATCTCGCTCATCTCGTCACATGAAGGTGTTACACTAGCAGAATATCAGATAAGAAGAGTGTGTGTGTGTGTGTGTGTGTGTGTGTTTGTCCTTGAGTGTGCTTGATGACATCACATCGCAGAAAGAGCCATCATACTATATGCATGACGGTGTCCTCTCAGAGCTGAAAGTGCTAGTAAATTCAGCATTATTAATCAACATGAGCAGCCACCTACCGGACAGTTACGCAGATCTCCAGCTGTGCTGGCGGCTTGAAGCAACTCCCCAAACCTTTCATCTCTCCTCTCCAAGAATTGCTGGCTGGAGTGCAGAGAAAGAGGACGAAAGAGAAACAGAGAAGCAGTTTTTGATCTTTTCAGGTCAATCTACCAACATAAACACGTCATGTGTCTGGCATGATGGCGCTGGCTTACCAGAGGGCTGTGGTGGACACATAGTGCACAAGCTCAGTGAAGGGTAGCGGGTCGGACGACGCGCCACAGCTCCTACACACTGACTGCAGGGGAAAACACGAGCACACACAAATATGCATCACGAGCGATGACTGCTATATTATGTAAAGCCTCAATTACACTACTGTATGTGATGTAAGAGATGCCTCAGATGGGTTAAACCTGAGGGTGTAACCAATTTAAAATTTATTTGTACCATGGTTGTACCTTGATTTATGTATTATGCAATAGAAATACTTACTGGGCATGTACGACTTCAGAGGTACTATGAAAGAACCAAATAAATACTATAGTACATAAATATGGTAGTTGTTACTAATATGGTATCAATAAAATTATTTAAGTCTCTTATGCTCACCAAGGCTGCATTTATTTGATTAAATATACAGTAAAAAACAGTAACATTATGAAATATTACTTATTAATTTTTTTCTATTTTAATAGATTTTATTTCTGTGATTTTAAAGCTGAATTTTCAGCATCATTAGTGTTCAGTGTCACATGATCCTACAGAAATCATTCTAATATGCTGATTTGATGCTCGAGAAACATTTATTATTACTATCAATGTTGTGCTGCTTAATATTTTTAATGTCCTTACTGCCACTTTTGATCAATTTATTTAATCCTTGTGGCTTAATACTTTTATTTCACACACACACACACACACTTTTTAAGGGTAGTGTATTTAACACACTATATGAGTACTATGGTATTATCAGGGCTATGCTCTCATCTCTCAGAGGAAGAAGGGAGAGTGAATGTAAATGTCCCTGTATTAGTATTCCCTGTGAGTTTTCCGCCCACTGTACCCGACTGATTGAAATCCGCCGTCACAGGACAGCGATCAATCCTCTGTTACTCACATGCCATGCGTGTGTGTGCATGTGGGGTATTAAAAAGCTACAATACCTGTTCATAAAGTGCCATAGCAAACTTCTGGTGAGTGATACAGGACTTAGATGTGCAGGCGTCAGTCTCTGCATCGGGAGCGATGTGCAGGTGAATCCTTTCCAGAATGTTCTCCTATGAAAAATATAAAAGCCTACAGTTTGTGTGTATCATAATAAGGCATTTCACACAAATACTGACATGGCATTCTCCAAAAGACAAAACTAATAATAAGATCACAATTATCGTAATTAATCACAATTATCGTAATTAAACACAATTAATCATACCTAACATTAAAATTTGTAATCATAAATATATTCTCACAACGAGTCTCCATATTAATACAGAAAACAACAAAT